CCTCATAGTGTGAAAGACAAAGATCTAATATGTAGAAAATCCACATTATAAGAATTTTACTCATAATTTTCTAATATCGGTTAATTTGGTTCAGGGTTTATTTCTTTGGATTACCATTTAGGTTGCTCTTTTTTTTTTTTTTTTTCAAGAAGTAGACATTTTCTGTTTCAGCACAGTAAGACAGAGATGAGGTTTGTTATGAAAAAGTGGCCAGAAGTGGTGGCTCACACCTGTAATCCTAGCACTCTGGGAGGCCAAGCTAGATGGATCACCTGAGCTCAGGAGTTCCAGACCAGACTGAGCAAGAGTGAGACCCCGCCTCTAAAAATAGCCAGGCATTGCAATGGGCACCTGGAGTCCCAGCTGCTCAGGAGGCTGAGTCAAGAGAATCACTTGAGCCCAAGAGTTGGAGGTTGCTGTGAGCTATAACGTGACAGAACTCTACTAAAGGGCAACAAGGTAAGACTCAGTCTCAAAAAAAAAAAACAGTAAAGGTATGCCAGAAAACTTCCATTCTACCAGTCCACAACATCTAAGGGCTGTATTTCCCACTTCCCTTAGGTATAGCCACGTGACTGGGCTCTGGCCAATGATATGTTAGCTCAAAGGATGCGTCCCCTCCTCTCTGTCCTTCTCCCTTCCCACAGGATGCAATGCAGACATGGTGGCAATTGCAGGAGTAGTCACCTCAGACCACAAGATGGAAACTTCATGTTGAGGATAGCAGAGCAACTAAATAGAAACTGATCCCTTGTACCATGAACTGCCATATCAGCCCTAAATCTGCTTAAGCTTGCCTATGTTGTGACAAAGAAATGGACTTCCATCTTGCCTGCTAAGCCTTTGACAACTTTTGCATACACATTAGAAGTGAGGAATATGAGGGGGATAGTCAAAAGCCATATGCAAATTTTTGACTAGGGGGGAAGTGGTCAGCATCCCTAACCCCCACATTGTTCAAGAGTCAACTACATATAATATCTCCACAAGATCCATTTGTATCCATTTATACATCTCTGGCATTCGTTTGTTTCTTCCTAAAAATGCCCAGAATATCTTTGTCATTTTGGAAAAAGGAAATCTCCCTGTGCAGTGTTTAGTCTTGGGAATCCAGATACACACGTCCAGGGAAGCTGAAGGAACCACATCCTCCTGGCTCTTAACTCAGCCCAGCCAAGGAACAGACACATGAAGAATAGACCAGGTAACACTCTCCCCTGGGCTTTTGAAGTTTGAGAGAGACACAAGAGAACAGCAACAGCTATGACCTCAAGAAGTCAAGGTTCTAGTCCACCTCCAAAGCCCAGTTCTCCAATATCCCATCAGCTCTGAGCACACTACTCCCAGCACCAAATCTTTCTCTCCAATAAATATTTGTTAGTTTCAGCAGGTCAGCCAGGTTTTTGGTTTGTTTGTTTGTTTGTTTGTTTTTGGCAACAGTTAAGAGACTCACTTTTCATATGACTTAACCTCTCTTTCCCTAGCAAGTAACCTTTGGTAAAAATCTAAATGAATGAACAAAATACATATAAAATTATATTGTAAAGTTTTATAGGGGGGCTTAGCACCTGTAGCTCAAGCAGCTGGGGCGCCAGCCACATATGCCAAAGTTGGCAGGCTCAAATCCAACCCAGACCTACCAAACAACAATGACAACTACAACCAAAAAATAGCCAGGCATTGTGGTGGGGGCCTGTAGTCCCAGCTACTTGGGAGACTGAGGCAAGAGAATTGCTTAAGCCCAAGAGTTTGAGGTTGCTGTGAGCTGTGATGCCACAGCTCTCTACCCAGGAGGATAGCTTGAGACTCTGTCTCAAAAAAAAAAAAAAAAAAGTTTGAGTTTTGGATATAACTCAAGAATTTAGTACATGTATTGTAGTTTTTTCTTTTCTGTGTTACAATGCAAATACTTTCCACCTAAAACTTTTCACATATGCCTTAAAACTTAGGTAATTTTTTTAAACTCTCCAAATTATTCCTTTTTTATATACTAGTTTACATCTTGTGAATTAATCTGTGCTCCTTACAGTGATCAGTAAATGTCACAATATCATTCCACAGTTTATTTTTCCCATATAAGGAACCCTAAACCAAGTTGAGAGCCAATTTAATAGTTAAACCAGCAACTCAGCCCTCCTGATGAGCAGAATTTCTGTCTCTGATTTGCATGGTTTTCCATTTTACACATCAGCCAAGCTGCAACAACTGGTTGCTAAGCAACAGCTTTTCCCTCAACAACCAAAAATAGAGCATATAGAAGGCCAGTTTTTAAAAATGTAATATACATATGTATGGAGTTAAAGAGAGACCCAGCCCCATAGCTTATCCATTTGCACAGAATTCTTGTCAGTCATGAATATTGAATTCATGGTAACAATTTGTAAATTCTGAATGTATGTGAGGTATGAATTCTTGGGTAACTGTATCACCTTGTATTTCCTTCCAGTATCTTCCTCACTCCTGAAAAACCATGGAGGAATATAGATGCCAGACTGTTAAAACAAATATCTTAGTCTGGGAGGGTGGCTCATGTCTATAATCCTAGCACTCTAGGAGGCCAAGGCAGGTAGATTGCTTGAGCTCATGTGTTTGAGACCAGCCTGAACAAAAGTGAGACCCTGTCTCTACTAAAAATAGGAAAACTGAGGCAAGAGGATCACTTGAGCCCAAGTTGGAGGTTGCTGTGAGCTATGATGCCATAGGACTCTACCCAGGGTGACAGCTTGAGACTCTATCTCAAAAAAAAAATAAAATGAAATGAAACAAATATCTTTTGAAAACTGTATCGTTGGGGGTTTGTTTTTTTGTTTTATTTTATTTTGTTTTTGAGATAGAGTCTCACTTTTTCACCCTGGGTGGGATGCTGTGGCATCATAGCTCACAGCAACCTCAAACTATTGAGTTCAAGTGATCCTCTTGCCTCAGACTCCCGAGTAGCTGGGACTACGGCCAGCCACAATATCTGGTTATTTTTAGAGACAGGGTCTCACTCTTGCTCAGGCTGGTCTGGAACTCTTAAGCTCAAGCAATCCATCCACCTTGGCCTCCCAGAGTGCTAGTATTACAGGCGTGAGCCACCATGCCCGGCCCTATGTAGTTAGGCTTATGTTGAACCCAGTCTTTCCTGAAGTGATATGAGCATTCCGATTGGGCTGCTACAGCTGTCTTAGAAAGATAACCTCCAAGTGGTCAATAGTGACTGTGATAGAGAAGTGGCCATTTGCTTTTGTCTCCGTGTATTCTTTACGAAAGAAATAATAACTGCAAGTAGTCATTGAGTGTTTATGAAGTGCTAGCCACGATTCCAAGTTAATAGACACATTAACTCACACAGGCATTCCCCATTTGGCAGATGAGGAAAAAGGCTGAGAGAGATTGTGTAACTCTCATCCCAGAGAGATGCTCAGGGCCGTGCATCTAGAAAATAAGAGTCAAGATTCACACTCAGGCAGCAAGGCTCCAGGTCTTCACCACTTCACTCTTCTGCCTTTGCAAGGTGGTTCCCGTATTGCCTAAACAGCTTTTTAACACACGATACTGCGCAGAACATAGCGAATGTTCATTCTATCTGTGGGCCCAGCTCACTAGTGGCTTGTCATCATTAGCTTTAATCAATTTTACAGCAGCAGGAGTTAAGAGCATAACAGAAATCTAACGAGTAGTGAAGATCAACATGTGGGCTGGTTTTAGTCAACAGAGAAACAAAATTGCGTCAGTTCCCCGGAACCTGCTGGCCACATGCTTACTCAAAATAGATGATGCAGCTATAGAAGCTTCTAAGGAATCTCTTCGAATAAATATCATTTCTGGGAATTAATTTTCTTCTTAAAGGTATATTTAGTGATTTCTTAATAAAAATGCACTTAATATACAATAAAAAGAAAAAAAGACACCCTTGCTTCTCTCAGCCGCTAGAGTGAGATACCAGCTTAGGAGAGCTCATTTATTCTGGAAGAGTTTCGACTGGTCTGCTTAAAGAGTCTGGGCTGACAAGGATTTGCACATCTGTGGTCCAGCTACGTGCATGGAAATTTTAGAGAAAATCCAGGCTTTCTTTTTAAAGATGGAGGAAGATTGAAAGAGAGCAAGACAGACACAGTAACTGGCTACAGAGAAGAGCTGCCCAATGGCTATTTGGACAGGGAATATTATGAGTGATATGGAATTTTTTCTCCGTTTCCCCTAGGAATCTTCAATAAATTCCACATTTCTTACTAAAGAAATAAATGACAAATTAGTGTCACGTAGAGCACTTGATAACAAATATCCTTGAAAGTAATTTTCCCCTCCCTCGTGCTGCCATTTTCCTTTCTAAAGTTACCTACTGATAAAAAGCCACATTGTGGTAGACAAGGTTCTCTTATCCCTCCTCGCTTTGGGTTCAGGGTAGAAGATGTGAATGTTTATCAGCCACGTAAGCAGTAATGATTTTATCCTTTAATTATTGTGCCCAAGAATGTAGATAAAGTATTAAAAGTAAAGAACACAAAGCTGACCAGAAAAAGACCCCTGAAAATGTCACTAAATAAAATCAATTAGGAAAGAAAGAAAAGCTGAGGATGCTCTGGTTGATCTCCCTGTTAAAATTTTGTCTTGTTCATTTAATCATCTGTTCTATGTGCGGATACCTCTCTGAATGGTACGTAAAGGCAATACACACTTTTTTTTAGAGACAGAGTCTCACTTTGTCACCCTCGGTAGGGTGCTGTGGCATCACAGCTCACAGCAACTTCCAGCTCTTGGACTTAGGCAATTCTCTTGCCTCAGCCTCCTGAGTAGCTGGGACTATAGCTGCCTGGGACTACAGGTGCCTGCCACAATGCCCAGCTATTTTTGGTTGCAGTTTGACTGGGCCGGGTTTAAACCCACCAGCCTTGCTATATGGGGCTGGTGCCCTACTCACTGAGCCACAGGCACCACCCAAAATATACACCCTTGATGGCCACACTCAAGAAGAAAAACCGGGGCGGGGAGGGGAATAAAAAAAAGAAGAAAAACCAAACCAATGATATAATGATTCTGCTAAATGAAATGGAATGGTATCACTTGTAGAACCAGTCCATTTTGGTTCTAAGGTTAGCTTACTGTAAAAAAAAAAAAAAGAGAGAGAGAGAGGAAGCAGAAAGAGAAAGGGGGGGAGGGAGGAGGAGGAGAAGGAGAAACAAAAACCTGTTTATGTGAAAGCTTTTGAATGAAGGTAGGAAGAGGCTAGTGAGAACTGTGGGAGAGGCTGGCCCCTTTCTAGGAAAATGAGAAGCAGGAAGGCTTCTGTAAAAGCATACACTGAAGCCGGGTCTTGAAGCACAAACACGAATTTGCCAGAAAGAAAAATGAGTTTAAGTCCCAGTTAATAATATGTGCAAAGTCCCAAGAAGGTAAAAGGCCATGGTGTATTAGGAAGTCAGATAGGACTCTTCGTACCGCAGATTAGGCCAGGGAGATAAGAGGGAACTGGTGGTTAAGGATTTTATTTACTACACTAGAAAATTTGGACTTTACCCTGAAGGCAACTGAGAGCTGATAAAGATGCTAGAAGACAATGAAGCATGTTCCCCGTGGGAATGTTAGAAATCACAGCCGTATACACATAAAAACGTAACCAAGAAATGGCGGAGCAAGAGAGCTGAACACGGAGACATGTACTAACTTACTCCGTTTTCAAAGCAAGGAATCAATAGGTATAAAAGTCAGTTAGAAAACAGAGGCCATCTATATCATCCAAAGTCAGAAAAGGCAACCACTAGAAGAACTGAATATACTCGAGGTAACGAACACAGGAGGCAAAAGGCAGTCATTTAGGTAGAATTTGATGTGAGAATGCTTCTCATTCTTTACGGCAAAGAGTCAGATGGTATTGCCCAGAGTTAAATCGGGTAAGAAATTAGCAAGAGCACGTAAAATTGCCGCTCTACAAAAGAAGACGTGGTTCCCTAAGGAAGGAGATATTTATTGACTAGCTTTTACTCTGTTTGATATTTGTTTTTTCTTCTATACTCTTTTTAAACTTATTTATGTTTGAGAGAGATGGTATGGAGAAGGAAACAAGAGGAGAGAGAGAAAAAGAGAGGGAGAGATTGGAAAAAGGCCACCGCTTTGTAGAAATCTACTTAGTCCTGCTCAGGCATCACAGATATAGAACTCTTGCCCACCCACCCCCCTTCCTAGAGCTGTCCTATCAAACACTTCTACAGACCTTTTTTTATCTTGAGTCTTCCTTTATGCTTTAACTACATCTTTGAATAAAAGCAAATGGGAATTAGCCTAAAAATAAATATATGAAAAATGTGATCTACAAAATTAAGGGAACACCCAATATAAAACATCAAGGAGTTCTGTCTTCTTTGAAGCAGAAGTAGCTGAGTTACCAGAGATGTATTTTAGTTCCAAGTTTCACAAATAAAATGGCTTAACATATCACGTTAAGTATGTTAAGTGCCATATTTTCGCAACTACAATCTGAGATGTGAAATCTGACAATGAGTTTTCTTCAGAGCTATGAATACATTACAGAAAATGTCTTTTAGAAGTATGATGTTAAAAAAACAGTTAACTATTGAATAAATCACCTTGATTTAAAAGAATATTACTGTCCACGCATGGTGGCTCATGTCTGTAATCCCAGAACTTTGAGAGACTGAGGTGGAAGGATCACTTGAGGCCACGAGTTCTAAACCAGACTAGGTTCATAGCAGGATCCCCATCTCTACAAAATATTTTTAAAAATCATGTATATCTGCAATCCTAGGTACTCAAGAGACAAAAGCAAGAGGATCTCTTGAGCTCAGGAGTTCAAGGTTGCAGTGAGACATGATTGCACCACTGCCCTTAGCTGGGGTCACAGAGGGAGACTCTAACTCAAAAAATATGCAGAGGGTGCCAAAAAATGTATACATATCTTAAGAAAGGAAAACACTGTATTAAAATTGTAATACTTGGCTTGGTGTAGTGGTTCATGTCTATAAGCCTAGCACTCTGGTAGAAGGATCCCTGGAGCTGAGGAGTTCAAGACCAGCCTGAATAAGAGCAAAACCCTGTCTCTACTAAAAATAGAAAAGTTAATGGGGCATCCTGGCAGGCACCTGCAGTTCCTAATACTCCAGAGACTGAGGCAGGAGGATTGTTTGAACCCAAGAGTTTGAGGTTGGCTGTGAGCTAGGCTGACACCATGGCAACAGAGTGAGACTCTGTTTCAAGAAAAAAAAAAAAACTGTAAGTGCAGGGCATGGTAGCTCTTGCCTGTAATCCTAGTACTCTGAGAGGCCAAGACAAGTGGATTGCTTGTACTCAGGAGTTCCAGATCAGCCTAGGCAAGAGTGAGGTCCCTCTCTACTAAAAATGGAAAAATTAGCCGGGCGTTGTGGTGGGCACCTATAGTCCTAGCTACTCAGGAGACTGAGGCAGGAGAATTGCCTGAACCCAGGAGTTTGAGGTTGCTGTGAGCTATGATGCCATGGCACTCTAGACGGGGGCAACAGAGTGAGAGAGACTCTGTCTCAAAAAAAGAAAATCATAATACTCAACATATACGACTAACAAATGATGAATACTTTGCAATTACAAGAGGCACTCAAAGTATATACATAACGTAAGGCCTCGTATAATACATAGATAACATCTCTTATAATGTGTATACATTTTTCAGTACCCTCTGTAGATGTTATATGAAAAACTCCATCTCCAGCATCCTCAAATATCCTGTAGGAAATTGTTTTCTGTGGGGTTTTGTACTTGGAATTCCCTACATTGGGGGGCAAAAAAGCAAAAGGAGCACAGACGCTCTTTCTTTCTCTTTCATCATTTTTGTAACAGCATATTAATTACAATATGGCCTTTACAATGAAGCCTATCGCCTCCTCTCTGCGGAGTAAATCTCCAGAGGGATGATTATTATTCTTCTCCGTGCAGTCAGCCTTCACCTACATTATGAGAGAAATAGTGTCTAACCCATGTGCTACTGATAACAGATAGACTCCTAAAGACCCCAGTGAGCTCAAAACTATTAGTACTAGTGTCACCTCCCTAACTACAGAAAACTCATGGAACTAGAAATTTGAAGCCTTTAATCCTAGGTTAATGGAGAAAAGACTATTAGTTATAAGATAGGTGATAAAATAACAATTATTTTTTATTTCTTCATCATTTTTCAGGCATACAGAAGGTTTAAACCTTATTAAAACTATCTTAATTTTTTTTTGGGGGGGGGGTCAGGAACCCTAAAGGTGATCTAACCATTGCCTTTATTTTGCAGATGAGGAGACTGACAGCCCTAGCAAATGACCAGGACTGTGGAATTGATGACAGCATATGTGAGAGACAGTGTCTGTGCCACAGGTCTCTCTGTGACATGCTCTCTTAATGTTTAGAATTTTTTTAATGTCATGGGGATCTGGATTTTCCCTTGGATATAACATCTTTGTTTTGTGACAAAACTCAAGCTAAACCTTTTAAGCCATATTTTTAAAAAATCAACAGGCTCGGCGCCTGTGGCCCAAGTGGCTAAGGTGCCAGCCACATACACCTGAGGTG